GCAGGGTATTCTAGGCAAACAGTGGCCTCTTTTGATTGACGGATGCGGAGGCCCTTACCCCCGCCAACCTCCTGCGTCACAAGTCTCCTCAAGACCTTCAGCTTCTCATTGTTCTCACTGGTGCCCTAATTTCTGGAATTTCCTGGTTTTGTCTCCCCTGCATTTACACAGTGTACCTTTATACATGTGTATAACTTCATGCATTTATATATACAAGGGTACTTCAAAAAGTTCATGGAAAGATTTGTATTATCTTTTAATTCTATTTTTCCATAAACTTTTTGAAGTACCCTTGTATATGATGTATCTGTATACACTGTATCTATCTTTATCCACTTTTATGTACACAGTGTGTATTTATACATTTATGTATATCTTTATACATGCCAACCTCCTGTGTCACAAGTCTCCTCAAGACCTTCAGCTTCTCATTGTTCTCACTGGTGGCCTAATTTCTGGAATTTCCTGGTTTTGTCTCCCCTGCATTTACACAGTGTACCTTTATACATGTGTATAACTTCATGCGTTTATATATACAAGGGTACTTCAAAAAGTTCATGGAAAGATTTGTATTCTCTTTTAATTCTATTTTTCCATAAACTTTTTGAAGTACCCTTGTATATGATGTATCTGTATACACTGTACCTATCTTTATCCACTTTTATGTACACAGTGTGTATTTATACATTTATGTATATCTTTATACATTGTGTATATCTTTATATATTTATATATACAGTGTAACTTTACTTGATTACTGGCTTTTAAAGATTGAAGTAAGAACCTTGGTGACAGAATGATTCAGAGATTTAAAGCTACCTCCCACCATTTTCCTCAAGCTGTGATCTGCTCCGCCATCAGAGGAGAGAGAGAGAAGGGGAGAAGGAAGCAGAGCTAAGTGTAGTGTAGACCTACAAATGCCTGTTTGGTGATTTTCAACACACACACACTTATTATCGAGAAAACCAAGGAAAGTGCCTTTGTCCTAGCTCAGTGGTTCTCAGACTGTGCATCACACCCTCCTGGAGGGTGTATTAAAACACAGACTGTTGGACCCAGCCCCAGAGTTTCTGATGCAGTAGATCTGGGGTGGGCCCAGGAATTTGCATTTGTAACAGGTGAGCTGGTGCTGCCAGCCTGGGGCCTCACTGGAGAATGACATCCCTTTCACATCCTGAAAGATTCACAGATGTGCAAATTGGAATTTTCTCAAAGCTCAAGAACCAGGCCAAAGAAGCAACAGACTCAAGCCACTGACTAAATGGGCAGGAAAAGTTTGTTCTCTCCCACCTGGAAATGAGCTTTTCTTGCCCATTTAATCAGTAGTTCTAGGTCAGAGCTGCCACACCTCTCAGAAGCACTTTCAATGTGTGCTTTAAGAAAAAAAAAAAAGCTTGGTGACCAGGATGAATTAAAACTCTAGCTAGAGACCCATGAGATAATGCCGCTGTCATGTGATATCTGTTGGGAGTCCAAGAATTGCAAGTCCTCTCAGGAGCTCTATAGGAAGTTTTAATATAAAAAGGGGGACTGTATGATGTGTCTACCACCTCAGGTTACAAAAAAATGTATTCCCTCGATCAGTATTTCCACCCCAGCTTTTTGAGCTCAAGGATCACTGTTATTTGTTTGTGTAGATATTAATTGTAAACGTTAATATTCTTCTAAGACTACACTTTGAGGGTGTCTTGCAGCCTTGGGACTGTAAGTGAACTTCTGTGGGCAGAACCTAATGCATTTCAGTGGGGAACCTGGCTGCACTTTAGAGTCACCCGGGAAGCTTTGAAGATACCCATGTCCTGGCCCCAACCCCAGGATCTAACCCAATTCATCTGATAATGACTTGGTGTTTTTTAAAAGATGCTCCCAGGTGATTCTAGTATGTAGCAGGCATTGAGAAACAATATTACTAATAAGTGGTCTCATGAATAGTTTAGAGACACCTTTCTTTAGTCAAGGTTTATTATATCCTCACAGCTTGCATATATATTCTACATATTGAAAATTAAATAACTGCTTACATTTGTAGCCAACAAAGTGTTTCCCTCGTATTAACGTATATGAGTTTTATTAGAATCAGAGGCAGGTAACTATTACCAACCTCATTTTTCAGGCTGAGAAATGGAGGCAGAGAGAGAACAAGGATTCATCTAACAAAGCTGGAACTTGAACCTCTGCCTTCTGGAGCTATGTACCCCCACCCCTTTACAAGACATTTGTTATCAAATGTGCTTTCAGCTGGGAGAAAAGTATCAGTGGCCTGTCTGGTGATCCCTAGAGTGCGGTTCCCTCCCTGAAGTAGAAACTCTGCAAAGGAGACACCTGGTTACTGGGTATCTGGGGATCTAACAAACAAGGAGCCTAAACACCAGGAAATATAGACCCGGGGGTTTCAGAAAACAGCTAGCTCAGAACTGGCCAAGCTATGTTCAGGGCTTGTCTGGTAAATCTCACAAACTAAGGTCCTACGGACAAGGGCATTGTGTCTCCAAATATGACTCTATCAGGTCCACTCTACAAAGCAGGAGCCACTCTGTTTTCTTATTTTCTCAAAGATCAAATACTTTGTTATTACATCCCAAGGATGAATCTTCCCTGAATGCCTCCGAATATTTTTCATTTTCAGGATTATAGGAAACCCTTCTGAAGGAATGCCCAAACTCACCCCAACTGATAATTCCATTTATTCTCTAAGCTTCAAATTTACATTTATTTTCACCCAAATGAGTCCTCTACATCTGTTGGATTAATTAGAGTATTTTAAAATTTATAGAGTTCTTTATTTCCAAATCTTATCATTCAGACATTGCTTCTGGTTTCTTTGAATTCAGAAAGTTCTGATAATCTAATTTTGGGAAAACACTACAAAGAACATCCAAGCTCCTTTCTTCTGAACAAATTACTCAGATGAAAGATAACTTTTAAAAAATTGTGTACGTGTTTTATCTTATTTCAAGAAAGCTGTAAATTAATAAAAACCAGTTAGTTAACTCTCTGGATAAACATCCAATGCAATCATATATTACCTACACTGTCAGAATGCCCACAGATTTGCATAAAGAACTGCAGGTAGCTTTGACACACCTCTCAGCAAACAGCCTTGAGCAGAAGCCAGAAAGCTTCCAGACTGGGAAAGCTGTGCATAGGACACTCCCCGCGTTCTCTTGGCTAAGAGCCACTGTCAAACCATCCTAAAGAGAACCAAGTGTCCTGCTCCCCAGCAAGATCTGTGATCCTCCTTCTCAGAATACAGCGTATTTATTATCTGTCACATGCAAAGGGCAAAAAGAATTGCCTCTGGGTTTCTATAAACTAACCGTGACAACTACGATCACTACCTACAACAAGCTATTAAAATTCACGTGAACAAATAAACTTATTTATGGTCTCACTGCAACAAGTAGGCTTTTCAGCAAATTTATGCATTTTTAGATAAGCATAATTTGAGCCTAAATTATGATAGCTTCATTTCACCCTTTGAAATAGGACAAAAAAGGAAAACTGAAGTTAGGCAACCAAAGAAATCTGCCGATTCAAGGATAAAATAAACCCTCTGACATACTGCCACCTAGTGGACACTGCCCGACATTGACAAGCCCGGGACCCAGAGCAATCAGGCTTTGCAGATTAGAAACCCTAATGACTAAAAACGACAGAGATAAGGAAATTTCACAACATTTTAA